ACGAGGAAGGAGAAGGAGAAGCAGAAAAGATTGGCAACAGATGTTAGCACAGGTGCCAATCCTTAAAAAAAGAAATTACACAGTTTGGCCAAAGTCACAGTGGAGCCGTTGGTTAGCACCTGAACCAGGACTCCTAAACTGCTACAGTACTAGGACTAGAAGAGAAATGGGATCATCCAGTGGTTCTCAATGAAGGGCGTTTGGAAATGTGAGGGCATTTTTTATTGTCCCAATGCTTGGAGCTTCTGCTGGCGTCTAATGCCTGGGCCCAGTGCTAAACATTCTTTAAGCACAAGACAGTCCTGGCCCCAGATGCCAATAATTCCCTATTGATAAACACCAGTATTCCTGCCTTCTCAATTTGTATTGAAAAAACAAGAGGCCCAGAGTGGTTAAATGACAGGCTCTCAATGGCTTTCACATGGGTGATGATCAAAAACTATTTGTTGAGTGAGGGATTAAAAAGAGAAATGGAGCCCATTAAGGGAACTTTCTGCTTTCACTCCTCTACATGGTGAATGTGGTACCTGAACACGTTGGCATGGCTGTGGGAGGGGAAAGGCCACTAGGTTCCAGTCTGTGATGCACAGTTGACCATGTGACCAAGAACACTTCCCTCCTTAACCTTGAAGACTCAGGTTCTCCATGGCAGAGCTACGGTCTCCCATCCAGTACCCTGTGGTGCCCCTCACACAGATGTGATGAGGACTAGGAGGAGCTTTCCAAATGCCTCCGAAGGGAGGCACTCACCAAAAGCAATCAGACTTCCCAGACCTATGGCTCTTGCATCCTCATGCTAAACGTGCACAAGAGAACTGGGGGCCCCAGGTGCCTGAGCAGGTGGCCTGGCTGGGTAGGGGTGGTCAGCAGCACTAGGACCCATTGCTGGAGCTACGCCATTGGCTTTGGGTGCACAGTTTACAGCTAGAAGTGGTCTTAAACGGTATCTAATCCAAAAGCAACATATTATAGATGAGGAAAATAATAAAAATGCAACTATCATCTTTTCATTATTTTACTACATGTGGTGCCATGCTAAGCAATTTACACATATTGCCTCATTTGACTCTCACACCGACTCTCTGAGGTACGTGTTTGTATTCCCAATTTACACATGAGGAGAGTATAGAATACCAGTAAATTTACTAAAGTCCAAAAGATGAAAGTGGCAGGGGTGGGATTTGAATCAAGGTCCATCAGATTCCACAGCCACTATACTGCCTTCTGGAAGAAGCTGAGCACAGAAGGGGCCTCACCCAAGAGGGCCCCTCTGCCTGGAGAGTCTGGCACTCCTGTTTCAGTGTGTTCTACCAAGCGGCTCTGGGTCAAGCGTAGATGTCAAGACAGGGCAGCGTGGTGTGAAATTCCCCTGCCTGTCGTCGTGTTGCGGGGAGGTCGCAGAACTTCCCTTATAGCTTTCATTCCTCACCAAAAAGCTGCCATGAGGACGCGATGCGAATATTAAAGCCCTGGGGCTGGAGGACTTGCCTCCCCACCCCCAATCCAGAGCCGCAGGACATCAAAGCGAAAGGAAGCGCGCGCGAAAAGGGGAGGAGGTAAATCTCCCGGGCCCCTGGGCGGTGCGAAGCCCTGCGGCGCCCCCGCCCGCGCCCCTCCAGCTGTGGGTCCCGAGCTCGCCGCCGCCGCGCTCTCCTCGCCCCGCCCCCTCGCCCCACCCCTCGCCCCGCCCCTGCTGCTGGCGGCTTTCATGTGGATCAAGGCTGGGAAGATGACAAGCCTCCTGACTGATAGATACACGGAGACTTCGCTGGTGATTTATTGGCTTTCTGCACCTGACGAGAACCACTAGGCCTATCTAAGGAGGGAAATATATGGGCTTTCATGACTCCAAGTGGCAGCCGCAGGGCGAGCATGTGATCTCAAGCTGGGCAGGGAAACCGGAGCTGTGCACCGGCCTGTGTTTGTAAGCGGGCCTAGGTCATAAAAGCGTCAGCACGCGATATATTTCTTGCGGGGGATCCTCTCTGGGCTCTTGCCAGCGCCTTCGCTCCCATGGCTGGCAGCCCAAGCCGGGTGAGGGTGTCCCCAGACACCTTATCCTGGGCTTTATTTAGCCGGGTGCCCTGAGTTCGTGATCCCTCCACGCTGCTCCTGAGCGCCTGATGCTGGGATACCGGCTGGCGGTGGCCGCCAAGTGCTCTCGTCCATACCCCAGCCTGGAGTCTCACAATCACGGCTGGCGCTGGGGACTTACTAGCTCAGAGCTGGAGTCAGACCTACATGGGAATTCTGGAGCTATTACTCATTAGATGGGAGCATCTTAAGTAAGTTACTGAATTCCCTTGTATCTACTCCCTCATCTGTAAAATGGGAGTGATACTACTACACATTGACCGTGGTAGGGCAATGATTTATTTAGGAAGTGAAGTTCCCACCCAGCTCTGAAGGGTGACGTTGTTAGGAAGCAGCTAGGGAAAGAAGCAGGAAGGACAGTGTGGCTGGGCTACAGAAAGTTAGCAGGGGAATGTTGGACGTGAGGCTGGGAGCTCATGGTATGGAGGCTCCCAGCTCCTGCTTCCCAAAACTTAAAAAGGTCCAGGGACAGAGGGGGACAATTGGGACGCAGAAATAAAGTTAGCTTAAGGAAGAGAGAAGCCTGGGCTCACAATCCCAGCTCAAATCAACAGCCAGAAGAATTGCAGAGGAGGTCTGGTGTTGACGTGGCACCGTGTGGTGATGCCGGAAGCTTCTCCAGAACCACCTGCTTGGCACAGTGGTTCCATTTGTGGGGGAGGTGGATGAACACAGGAAGGTGAAGCTAAAATCTCTATAACTAGGAGAGGCACAGGGGTCAACACTACCAAGGACATTCCAGGAGCCCAACCCAAGCTGAGGTCTCAACTGGGAGAATCTGTGTTCAAAGGCATCGTCAAGGGCAACAAGATGAGCAGCCTAGTCAAGTGATCAGACTCTAGGCCTTATATCTTTAAGCTGTGAGTCCTCCACATTCTCAGACAATTCAGGGTGAGGATGGGGGCAAAGAAGAGGACACTGGATTTACCATTCAAGGGTAGGTGGGGAGGGGCTTGAAAAAGAAAGGGGATTAAACTGCATTTGGACCTCAAACTGGTGAAAAAGATTTTATGATGTTGATGAATTCCAGTGCTTCTAACACCAAGCATTCTCTCTTCAGTTAAAGTACAGGCTTGATACTGGGCCCACAATGCTCAAGAAATGTTCGTTGGTTGTTCTTTCGTAGAACTGCATTCTGCCACGATATTTGGAGACGGGCTAACTGAATTTTGCTTGCAACAGTTTTTGAATGTTTAAATTGATAATATGCTTTACTGTTGTCACTCATCTTCTGTTCTTTATTATTATTTTATTGAGGTCAAATTGGCTTGTAACATTGTATAAATTTCAGGTGCACATTATTATATATCAGTTTCTGTCTAGACTGCATTGTGTTCACCACCAATAGTCTAGTTTTTACCCATCACCACACATATGTGCCCCTCTTACCGCTTTTACCCTCCCCCAACCTCTTTCTCCTCTGGTAACCACTAATCTGTTCTCTTTATTAATGTATTTATCTTCTACATGTGAGTGAAATCATACAGTACTTGTCTTTCTCTGTCCGGCTTATTTCACTTAGCGTAATACTCTCAAGGTCCATCTGTGTTGTCGCAAATGGCACAATTTTGTCTTTTTTATGGCTGAGTAGTATTCCATTGTATCATCTTCCTTGTTTTTCATCTCCTGCCTTAGTCTTGGAAAAAATAGTTTATGAGTAAATGTTCTGCTGGATGACTTCATATAGGTGTTCCATGAAGAAAGAAGTGGCCAAAGCAGGGAAAGCCACAGCAATAAAAGCTATAATATGAAGTAGGTATTCACAAGATGAGTCCATAGCTCTCCCTGCATGACCCAGGTGGTACAGGATGGGGGGGTAGCAGTCTGCTGTTGCTCCCCACATCCAACCTCACTACATATGCATCCACAAGCAGGGCCAACACCAGCCCACAATACCCCTCTGGTGCATATTAGACAAAGAGGCCTTTCCCCAGAGGGCCTAGTACTTTGCTAGGGCCCATGGCTTAGGGATCAGAACACAGGCTGAATTTCATCCCCCAATGATTCCCTCTACTGAGGGGCCTCATATGTGGCCAACCTGTACAATCATACAGGAGACCTAGCCCTCAAGCTGCCTCTCCATGAATGGCCTTCCCTGGACTTCCAGGCCTCCCTTGGGCTCATTATGGACACCTGGGGTTCAGAGCCATGGGGCTTCCAGCTCCCTCATTTCTAATCTGTGTGATTTGGGGCTCATCAGTTAGTCTTTCTGAGTTACTTTCCCCTTTGATAAACTGGGGATAGGATTGCCTCTCTCACAGGGCTTTTGTGAGGGAAATGTGATTCCCACTGAGCAATAATCTGGATATTCGAGGCCCACCCCCTCATGTTTCTGATGACAATTCCATTTTACAAGATTGAGTATTATGAGATCATTCTAAACCTTTGAGCTGGAAGGAGATTTAAGTCAGTAGGGATGATTGGACACAGGTAGTCAGCCCATGCTGACGGCAGGACTTTTCTGCAGGTGCCCAGCAGAGACCTCCCAGGTCCTCCTGCCACAGGCTTCATCACTGCTTCTGCCCACATGTGGCAGGGACAGGCCAGTGGTCCCAACTGAGAGCCTCCAAAGCAAGGCCAGGAGTTTGCTCCTCCCAGATTCCCCAACACTCAACACACCCCATGGGCTTGTCACCAAGCAGGCCCTCAGGAAAGTCTGTAGTTCTAGGCTGGGCTGCAGTGGAGCGTTGTCCACTTTGGCAATTGTCAATATTCCTTCACTGCGCTGAAGATCCTACTGTCAGTTTGGAAATTTTCTCAAAAGATTTAGATGGTGCCTCTTCTTGGACTTTCATGAGTTGTGTGAACACAGCAACCTTCCTCATCTTTGTCCAGCCCATTGCTCCTAGACCATGGCCTGTACAGTCCAAGAAGACAATGATCCAAGAGAAAGTGCCAAGGCATACTCGGTTCTGGCAAATTCTTGTATTTAGAGTTCAAACTCTCACTTAACATCCCAACAAGAATAAAAAAAGACCTGGTGCCCAGAGAGGAGTCAAGGGAATGTCTTCATGTGTGATTTGAGGACACAGGTATCTGGGAGGGCGGCCTGGGAGAGTCTTCCTGGACCCAGCTGTGAGGAGCGTCTGGGACCACATCGTGAGCCTGACTTTCCAAGGCACCAGCTTCCTCCTAAAAGGCAAGGTTATAGAGTAGAATGTTTGAGATGTGGGCTGTCCAATGAGGCTGATTGCGTTAGCCAGACTGAGGGTAACGTGTCCCTGTGCAAGAAACTTAACACCCTGGACCTTCGTTTCATCAGTCCCAGAAGTACCACACAAATATGTGCTTTTACCCAGCTGATAATAAAACTGAGTGTTTACGTAATGCTTAATTTTCCCCCAAGGAGGTTTTTAAATTATCACAATATCTGAAATGTTTGTTCTGTTTGTGCGTGTTTTATGACCTCTATCTGTGGTAAAAATCAATACACAAATACTTTTAAATTCTAAAATAAATGAGTGTAAGTTACCTGATTTTTGTTTGTTCCATAGACGGCCATCTGGAGTCAACACACATTTACTCCAGAGTCTGCCCTTGGTCAGGAACTGAAGAGGTCACAGTTCTGAATTCAGATCAGGCCCCATAAATTCGAGCCTGCAGTCTTCCCCTGGCACACCTTGGCACTTATTTTCTAAACTACATTGTTAAGTCAAAGATTTCAAGGCATTCATCCTTCTTTACTTTCTATCTCAGCTTTTTGATATTTTAGACATTTTCCACCGGGGGGAGAATAAAAATATTAAAGACAAAACAAAAGAACTTTCTAGTGAGGAGGCCAGTCTGTGGTTTGGGTCTTGAAGAAGAAATCACGAAATCTGAGTGTACTTCCTATTTGAGCATTGATTGTCTACATGGAAATGGCAAATCTTTCATACCAGGGCAAACTTTTTCTGTAAAGGGCCAGATGGGAAATATTTTAGGATTTGTGGGCTATACAGTCTCTGTCTCAATTATGCAACTCTGTTGGTGTAGCAAAAGGCAGCCATAGATGATGCTATAATGAATGGATATGGCTCTGTTCCAATAAAACCATTCACCAAAATAGGCAGCAGGTCAGATTTCGCCCAAGCTATAGTTTGCAGACCCCTGCCTCATGCCATCTGTGCCTCTGAGTATGAAAATGGACATACTAAAATCTTCCCTTAGAGCTGAAGCTAGCTATAACTAAACATCCATCCTAGCTCCTGTTCAACCCCAAGGTTATGTCTCAGGAAGAGGCCTGGGGGTGGGAGGACAAAGAGTGAGACCAAGTCAGGCCAAACTCCTACAATAAGACCAGGGTGGTCTACCTGTCCACCTCTAGTGCAATGCCTGGCACACAATTGATACTTCCTTTGCTTTGTGAATAAATAATGATTTAATTAATTGGTTGCTTCCTGGGAATGTGAGTTTGCTGTTTAGTTGACCCAGAGCACCCTCGATCTCCAGCTCAGTCACCAGCTTCAACAGCCTATCCCACAATCAACCTTCTTGCCAAAGCCAGTAGTGAGAGCAGTTATCTGGGGCCATTACCTGATCAATTCAAAAGGCAAACACAAACTGCTTTGGGAACCAGGGTGTCCCAGACACACTGAATTTCCTGACTTTTCTGCAGTTATTCTTTCCCATAATGAGCCTTCTGCCATCCCTTGGGGCCAGTGGCAGTTGGGGAATCAGTGACTATTTGATGCTGATGGTTTCTAAATGGATGGAGGGTCTGCCTGCATCTGACTATCTTAGAACACCTTGTTCTTGTTGTCCCCCCTGGTCAGTCCTGGACTGTTGGTGCCTCAGCCAGGTTTGGAGCTGAGCAGAAAAGGCCACTGAGCAAAAGGAAGAGGTACCTCACTGTCTCCCATGACTCCTCCATCACTTTTGTCTGAAAGGGATGTCTAGCTTGAGGGCTGGTGGGGCAGACAGATTTCCGACTCTGCTCCATACTTCTAATATTACTTGCTGCCATGACTTATCATCTGTGACTTGACATGTTCTCCACACAGAGGCATGCTGTACACATTAAGACATGCTTCCTGCATTAGGAGTCTTTCCTAGATTGAGGATATTTTCCTGGTGCAGAATTGAAGACGGAATTGAGATATTCAGATTGACCCTAATATTTTGGGGTCTAGAGTAGGTTTGGAACATTTTCTTCCCTTTGAGGGTCTACTTCAGTTCTAAAGAGCAGCAGCATTTGTAACGAGGGCTTGATCTGGTCCAGGACACGCTACAAGGAGGGCATGCTATCCCTGCAGTGGATGACTGTTGCCTCCCTCACCAACCCTGGCCTAAGTCTGCCTTTCTCCTTCCCCTTGCACATGGGGAGAGGCTGTGCGCTGGAGCTCACGGCTCACCTGGAACGCCTCTGGTTGCTGAAGGGCTGGACGGAGCCTCTGAGACAACCTGATGGATCATCTCATAAACAGAGCCCGCAGGAAGGAAAAGAAAATTATGCCAGCAGAATGCACTTATGAGAAATAGATACGTGTGGTGCAGGGAGAAATGCTTTGATATTAAAATTTTTTGTAACTTAAAAAGGCATGAAAAATGATACCGACCACTAACTAATCAACATTCCTCTGCGAATGCAGCTTCAGTTCCTAACCAAAAACACATCCCTGCTATTGTCTTGTCTGGATCCAGATGCAAACATGATTAATTAAGTTTCAGGCGAGGAGTGGGAGGGGGGATGGCCGGGACGGATGGCTTGCTGAGGATCATTTTTATACACAGGCCTGGGGAGAATCCCTAAGGCTGTGTGCCTTCCCCCATGTGGCGGGGATTGCCTTCCATGCACTGACAGCCCAAGGGTGTGTGAGTGAGTTGCACCCAGACCAGAGAGGCTCCAAGGAGAGTTTCTACAGGCAGCAAGGAGAGGCTCTTGGTACGCTCCTTGCACTGCCCAGTGCAGCATGACAGAGTGGCAAGAGCGTACGAGATGTCTTGTCGGGAGACCTGGCTCCGCTCCCCACACTGCTGCCAAGTAGTTTGGGACCTTGAGTAAGCTGCCTCAGTTTCTGCATTTGTAAAATAAAAGGTTGGATTAAATGTTCCTTAAAGTCTCTTCCGTTTCAGACTTTTTAGTGCCTGAGGTCCCTCACTCATAGCAGGTGTTTATAAATTGATTACCAAGGCTGTCAGCAATTGTCACCTTTGGGCAAAGGAACCTGCTGATGGTGGGGCTGTGAAGTGTCCCAGGGGGGCGTCTCAGCTGCAGGTGGCTGAAGTGCAGAGATCTGAGCTGCACATCCGAGGCCCAGCCGACCTACCTTCTGATCCGTGCTCCACCACACTCAGCCTGGTGACAAGGAAGGAGACAGCTGATTGCTCTGCGCCTCACTGTCCCCATTAGAACACAGAAACACCAGGCCAACTTACCTGAGGTGTCATGAAGCTGAGCAGTGGCACTCTGTTCTGTTCTTATGCTAGCTGGTCAGAGAGGACAGTGATGGTACACAGCGTCGTGCCTTCTCCAGGAGTCTGCTCCCCAGTAGGAGCCCCAGGTCACTGGACACTGTAATTGAGTGGTTAAGGGGGCAGGATCCAGAGTCAGACTGTCTGCATTCAGATCACCTCCCCAGCATCCTAACCATTAGGCAAATTACAAACCTCCTTTAGGTTTTGTTGACCTCATCTGTAAAGTGGGAATAATAGTCATAGAACATACCTCATAAGGTTGTTGTGAATATCAAGTAAGTTAAAATATACAAAATGCTTATATTCATGGCTGGCACATTTGGTAAGTGCTAAATAAATGTTAGTATTATTATTGAGGGCCCCTCTCCAACTTTGGGTGCCCATCAAGTGTCCCTTTCATATGTACTTAGTTGTGTCTTCTCCCAGAAGGGAGTAAATGGAGCTGCCTAAACCTTTAGCTGCACAGAGTAGGCTCATTCATTCATTCAGCAGACATCACTGAGTGCGCACAACGTACCAGGCCCTTAGCTGGGTTTTGGGGAGACTATGTTACCTGGAGCTTTCAGCTTGAGGGCCCTGGGCTCACCAGAACAGCACACAGCACACGTTTTCCATGCATGGTGAGCAGGAACAAGCTTGTGCATGGGTGAGAGAGTTTTATTAGGCCTGCTGGACCCCACCATGGTGCTGGTGCCAGGTATAACACCAAAAGCTTCCCATCAGACTTTAAGGCCCTGGTGTGGGGATCTGAATCTGAGCCAAGACTAGGGTTTAGTGAGCTATTTTATTGGGGGTTTTACTGCCTCCTTCTAAAGCCAACTGATTCCACTAGTATTTACCCCCTCTTGATGTCAGCTGAGAATGACCAATTTTTTAGGTAACTAGCAACACCCTCTCAAACATTAGGATGATGAACTGCTCAGTTCAAGGTCTATAATTCTCAATTCCAGAGGAAAGAAGATGGCTTTTACATATGCGTTTCGTTCCTGGGAGCATCTATGAAACATGCAGCATTCTCTTACCTCGCTGGGAAATCACTTTAAAAATATCATCTCTAATCCATCTTCATGTTTTCAAGAGTGAGTTGATTATTCCCATTTCCCAGATGGAGCAACTGAGAGCAGAGTCAGGAGTCAGCTTGCCCAGGGACCCAGAGCCACAGAGGGAGTTGGTGGTGGGGCCAAGAATGAGTTCTTATTTCCTGCCTCACAGTCCATGGGAACCTGGGAGTGACCTTTCTGGGCAACGTTAGAAACATGAACATGTGAAATGGAGAATTTAGACTGCAATCCCCTGGACCAGGTCCGGCACTCTAAAGTGAGTGTCCTGCTCCTGTGCAACACGTTCTAAGAGTTATTTACTGTCCTGAAAGTGATTAAGGTGAAGCAGATCTTCCATGGAGGTTCCAGGTGAATCCGAGCCCCATGGACGATGACTTTGGATTCATGTCGACAAAGACTTAATCCCTACAATGTATAGGGCACTGCTCTGCTGGATTTTTCACAGGGAACAAGAGGGGAAGGAATTTCTCTTGGAGGAAGCATGCAGATGACTACAGAAATGACACTTTGGTCCCCAGCCTGTGTATGAACCAGCTCTGCATCTGCGTGTCCCACGCTCTGCCTAACCTCTCAGGAAGCCTGAGGCTGTAATGCTGCCTCCCGTGGCTGCCGGGCCTCCTATCCTCATTCTCTCCTGGGCTGCTCCCACTCTGCTCCAATTTCAAATGGCTCCTCATTTCAGGCTGCTTCTCGGGCTGTGGGACTTGGCCTTAGTGTTTGTGCTGGGTTTCCCTGCTTTCTGTTCTCAAGGCCTTGGGTTTTGACTCACCCCTACACACACACACACACACACACACTCCCAGGGATCTGAGCCTTCATTTTCCTCCCTCACACCACACCCCAGCACTGAGTGGCTTGTCTGGGTGCCCAGAACTTGGGCCTGGGGCATGTACAGGGCAGGAGAGGGACCCCCAAGCTCTGAAGTACAGAGTCTTGATATGAGGGCACCCCCTCACTGGCTCAAGACCTCAAGCTGACCTCTTGCTTATCTCTCTGACTTAAGGTCCCCCATTAGACCTTGAGCATCCCTGAGCTCGCCTGTGCCCCTCTGGGAGCGGCTGTGTTCTCGGCATGTGCAGGTCTGTGTCTGCACAGACTCTGAGCCTCCTAGGTCTTAAGAGAGCCCAGCTCCCTCTCACCAACTAGAGGTAATTAACTTCTCTGGGGCTCTATTTTCTTTTGAGTAAATTAGCAATACCTTCTGTATGTGAGTGTACTGAGACTCCAGCAATATGGTAAAGATCTTCCTACACTCTCTTTAGTACAGAAACGCTGTGTGGTAGGCTCAGTCCCCATTTCATGGATAATAAAACTGGGTGGCTCAGGGACATTGTGTAAAAACTCCATTTATTCAGCTACTAAGTGACTGAATGACAACTGAAAAGGCTAGAATGGAAACCCATATCGGTTTGATATGATCTAAGACTGGCATATCATTCAAAAACAAGAATGATATTGTTGCTGTTTTCAAAGAATTTATAATTTACTAGAGAGTATGAGAGAAGAACTGGTTGGGTTTCTCAAAAAAAAAGGAAGAAAAATACCTCTTTGCCATATGTATATATGAAAACTGGCACAAGCTTGCAGACATTCTTTCTAGACATAACTGTATTGGTAGAAGGTGGATTTAAAAGAGGATAGAGGTATGGTAAGTATTTGAAGGATTTTAGTTCCATGGTGGACAGAAGGAAAATATTTACAGATATTGAGAAATGTTTGCTTGCCTTTCCAACGTAGGAGACAGAAAACTCCATAAACAGACTGCCTCGGGCGGATGGGAAGGAAGCACCCATAGAGACAGGCAGGATTTACAAGCGTATTGTATTAGTCAGTTCAAGCTGCCATAACAAAATACCATAGACTGGGTTAACAACAGAAATTTATTCTCTCCCAGTTCTGGAGGCGAAAAGTCCGAGATCAAAGTGCTGGCATGGTCAATTTCTCACGAGGACTCTCTTTCTGGCTCGTAGACAACCACCTCCTCACTGTGCCCTTACATAGCAGGGAAAGAGAGAAAGAGAGAGAATAAGCTCTCTGAGGTCTCTTTTTTTATAAGGTCACTAATCGCCACCACCACTCCCCACCCCCACCCTGTGACCTCATCTAAACCTAATTATCTCTGAAAGGCCCCATCTCCAAATACCAACACATTGGGGGGCAGAGCTTCAACATATGAATTTCAGAGGACACAATTCAGTTCATAGCAGGCATATAAAATTATTTTGTCAAATATCAGATCAAAGCTAAGTTTCTCGATATCAGATATCTCAAGAGTCCGTTACACCCCTATGTTCATCACAGCATTATTTACAATAGCCAAGACGTGGAACCAGCCTACATGCCCAGAAACTGATGATTGGATAAAGAAGATGTGGTATATATACACAATGGAATACTACTCAGCCATAAAAAAAGACGAAATTGGCCCATTCACAACAACGTGGATGGACCTCGAGGACATTATGTTAAGCGAAATAAGTCAGTCAGAGAAAGACGAACTCTATATGACTCCACTCATAGGTGGAAATTAGTATATTGAGAAGGAGATCTGATAGGTGGTTACCAGGGAAAAGGGGGGGTGGGGGGAGGGTACGGAGGGGGAAGTGGTGTACCCACAACATGACTAACAAAAATGTACAACTGAAATCTCACAAGGTTGTAATCTATCATAACATTAACAAAAAAAAAAAAAAAAAAAAGCTAAGTTTCTCTAAGTTTGGATTGCTTAGACTGGAATTAAATGAGTTAGTACAAGGAAAGCGCTCAGAACTGTGCCAGATCCATATATGGACTACATCAGGTTCTGCTATTATTATTGGAATCCTATTTGATATAGCTTTAAACACCAGACATTCACAAGACTATTCTTGTAAATTACCTATTTATGTTGGCATCATTAACAGCTTTTCTTTCAACATCTGTAACCACTTGAGTAATCTTATCAGGATTTGTGGGAAGACAGTTGACTTTTCTCTTCCCACTTTATTTGCACAACCTTCAATAGGAAGATAACTTAGTTGTGTGGAGGATTTGGTGAAACTATATGAGATTTTAATGGTCTTTACAGATACTAAACCACCTTCAGAAATATTACCTGAGGTAATTTTTGTAATCACCTTGAAAGAAAAGTATTATTATGATCCTTGTCCCTAATTTGAAATGAGAAAACCTTGGCTCAAATGGATTAAGTACTCAAGGTCACCTAGCAATGAATAGACAGTGTCTGGACTACACCCAGGTCATCTCACGTCAAGGCCAACGCTCTTCTGCTTAATTCACAGGTACCTTTTTAGAACAAACAAAATTCCTCCTCTTCAGCATTACTGGGACAGCATGAACTTTACTGGAACAAAGATCAACCAGCAGCAGAAGCAGTGACAGCAAACTGAGTTTGGAATAACATGTGTGGTAGTAATGGACATGTTCCCTCACACATAACCTCACGTTTATTGTTCACTTGAACCCTAAATAGCTTCCTGTAAGGAAAATACTGAAGAAACTGGGAACAAAAAGTCTTTGGCTTCAGAAGGAATTATCCAGGCATAAGACAGAAAAAATATGAACGAAGCTGTGAGCAGGCAGCATCCATTTTTCCTGTCTTCCTTCCATCTGCATCCTCCTCCACTTCCAAACCAACAGATGAAGCCCTCTAAGCTGAGTGGAGAGGAGAGTTGAAGAGGAAATAAAAGTATTAGGAACAGCATAGAAGTTGTGCATCCTTCCAATCTGTCCCCTCCTCATAGCCAAATCACAGATGTAAGTGTGTGTGGTAGGGGTACACAAAGGAACCCCTTTTAAATTTGGAGATCTGAGAATGGATAAGACCTATGTTGCTACCTGCGTGAAGTCCAGAGAGACCCCTAGCCTGACCCATTGTTTTGTATCAACTGTAGAAATGGTGGCATGACATAATGGAGTCAGAGGCTACCCTGAGTTTCCTGCACCCCCGAAGGGATGAGATTGCCACCTGAAAACATCCAAGGCTCTGAATGAGACACAAAAGATATCTGGGACAGAGCAAGCCCCTGGGGCCTTG